AGCACCTCCGGTTAGGAGAGCTGAGTCATTCCCAAGTCTGGGAAAAGTTCTCCAGGCATTAAAGAGCACAAAGTGCTCTGGATTACGCCTTAGTTGCCAGCTCGTAGCTCCGTTTATGGTCATCAAATCACAATTTGGTGTTATTGCAAATGACAGCTCATGTCGATAGATTTAGGGGCAATTGAAACAATATTGTTTATTTCAAAATGCAAATATGGGTTAACCAGGCGATAAAGCAAGGATCTCTCTCCCTCTCTGATCTCTCTCTCTCTCTCTCCATCATCTATTATTTATCTGTCTAATAATCTATCATCACTTTCAATCATCCATCCTTCCATCCATACATCTATCACATCTATCCATCCATTATCTATCCACTCTTTCATCGGTCTCTTTGTCAGTCTATACAAATCTGTCTGTTTGTCTCTACCATCTGATCCATCCATTATCTATCTACCAATACTCTCTCATGTGTCTCAGTCTTTTCATATTTGTCTGTCCATCTGTCCACCCATCCACCCATCCTTCCATCCACTCTCTCATCTGTCTCAGTCCTTTCATATTTGTCTGTCCATCCAATTGTTTTGAACATGTTAAACTCAGCCAGAGGTCTCCAAACTTGGCAACTTTAAGACTTGTGGACTTCAACTCCCACAACCCCCAGAATTCTGGGAATTGAAGTCCACAAGTCTTAAAGTTGCCAAGTTTGGGAACCCCTGAACTAAGCCAAGGAAAGCAGATCTGGGTTGCAAAACCCACCGGGTGGGGAGTCAAGGACAGATCACTGTCTAACTCAGTGGCTCTCAAACTTGGCAAATTTAAGATGAATGGACTTCAACTCCCAGAATTCCCCAGCCAGCCAGCCAGACAGCCAGACAGCAAGCTTGCTGGGAAATTCTGGGACTTGAAGTCCACCCATCTTAAAGTTGCCAAATTTGAGAAACTCCGGCTTAGCATGAAGGTAATCTTCAACTTACAACAGTTCGTTTAGTGACCAAAGTTACAAGGGTCCCGATTAAAGTGACTTATGACCATTTTCCAGGCTTACGACTGTCACAGCATCCCCAGGATCACATGACCTACCTTTGCATGCATGACAATTGACTCACATTTATGACGGTTGCCCTGTCAAGCGATCCCCTTTTGTGACCTTCTGACAAGCAACGCCCATGGGGAAGCCGGATTCACTTAACAACTGGGTCACTAACTGAATAACTCCGGCGATTTGCTTAACAACGGCGGCAAGAAAGATTGTAAAGCGGGGTGAAACTCATTTAACGAATTTCTCACTTACCGGCATAAATTCGAGGGGGGGGGCTCAATTGTGGCCATAAGTCGAGGACTACCTGCTAGTAGGATTGGACTAGATGACCTACAAGGTCCCTTCCAACTCTGTCAATCTGTTATACTGTTAGTAGCAAAACCAGCCATAGAGGCTCTCCAAAGTCGAAAATCGCGCGTCGGCCCCTTTAAGACGCCCCTCCCTCTCTCCTCCTCCTCTTCCTCTGTTCCCTCCTCTTTCCCCAAGAGACCCGGTTGAATCTCTCCCACCGCGCGACCCCTCTACTTCCGGCTCTACGGCGAACCTCTATTCTGAGACTTTTGAGTCGAGGCCACCAAAGAAAGGCGAGCGTCCCAGCGGCAGGCGGAAGTGAAAGCCGGGAGTGCGCGCCTCTATTTCCTCTCCCTTCCTTCCCCTCCGCCCACTCTATGGTTCCTCCTCCCCGGCGGCGGCGGCGGCTGACAAGATGGCGGCGTCGGGCCTAGGCTTCGGCCCAGGGTCGTCGGGGCTCCTCGGCAGCCGGGTCCTGGCTTACACCCTCCACCGCTGGAGCAGCTTCTCCTCCACCTACCTGCCCGAGTGAGTCGGCCGTGGGGTGGGGTGGTGGGGCGGGGGGTGGGGCGGAGGGAAGCTCTCAAGGCAGCCCCTCTCCGCGGGCTCTGAGACCACCGCCCCATCTTCCCCGGCTGAAGGAGAGCGCGGAGGATGGGCTTGCGGGTCCACAACCGGGTGTGCGGGGAGGTCGAGTTTCTCTTCTGAGGGAGGTCAAGGATCCGGGAGGGGGAGACTTTTTTTCTTTGCCAACCCCCCCCCCCCCCCCCCGGTCCTGCTCTCCCAGGTGGGGAGGGGGGGTCCCATTAACCCCCCTCCCCAAACAGCCGTTGCAAAGGCGAATGAAGGCCGAGGGGGGGGGGGGGAGGGGCTCCGTGTTGGGGGGGGGGCCCCCCCCCCGGGGGGGGGTCCCCTCCCCCCCCCCCCCATGGCCAGGTAAGGAGGCCGCCTCTCGAGGGGTGGTGGGTTGTTTTGCCTAAGAGGGGGGCGGCCTGGAGGGGAGGGGAGAAGGACGGGGGTCTTCTAGGGAGGCTTGGGGGGGGGGGGTGATCAGGGGCCGCCCGGGCAGCGTGGGTTCTTGGGGGGATCGGGTGGAGCGGGGGGGGGGGGGCGGGGTGGTATCTGTCTCGGAGCTTGTGGCAAGGCTGTCAATGGGGTCTTGGTTGCCTCTGGACTCAGGGTCTTCCTTCCCCTTGTTGATCTTCCTCCTCCTCCTCTTTCTCTTTTTTCCCTTCCTCTTCCTCCTTTTCTTTCTCCTTCCTCCTCTTCCTTTTCTTCCTTCTTTTTTCCTCCTCTCCCTCTTCCCCTCATCTTTTCCCTCCTCTTCTTCATTTTCCTCTTCTT